CTCAACCCGGCCAGGTGCAGCGGGGCGCCAGGGGAGGGGCTCCCCAAACCCACACTCAGCCCGGCCGGGTGCAGCGGGGCGCTGGGGGAGGGGCTCTCTGACACCGCATAAAGATTTCATTATGCAGCACTCCCAGCGGGATCCCAAATGCATGTGTTGGCTACCTGCTCCCCTGCCCCAGTGTGGGGGTCAGCTGGATCAAACACTTCAGGGTCCCCCGCGCTTAGTTCCTCGTTTTCAGTCTCTTTCCTTTGCCTTTCCCTGATGTTTTCGAGGGCCCTGCCCTCCTCCCGCCTCCGGAATCTCTCCCCTTTTCGCCCGTTTTGATTCCGAGCCAGGCACTTGGGTTTTGAAAAGCCGCTGAAAGGAGGAAGCCTGTCTAGTGCCTCCTACCCCAGCCTGACCCCCACCGTCAGGGATGGACTGTGGAGAGCACTCGCCTCCCTTCAGCCCCATCAGGCAAGAAGCTGGAAGTGCTGCCTTGTTCCTTAGCTGCCCTCTCTGTTCCCATTGCTCTAGGCTGCAGGATCTCTCGCTGGGCTACTGGGTGCTGGTTGTTCATTTCACCCGCAGGGAAGCCGTCAAACAAATCGAGGTGCTGCAGCACGTGGCTACCAATGTGGGGCGCAGTGAGTATTTTCTTCTGCTCCTTCTAGGGGAAGCTGGCCTGGGATCTGAGCTGGTCTGAATTGCTGTGTGGTCAAGAGCCTGCTCTGCATCCCGGCTGGCAGAGAAGCAGGAGCCCCACATGCTAAAACTCCCTGCCTGTCTGGCAGTGAAACGCTGGAGTACGTTGCCCAGGGAGGATGTGGAGTCTCCATCTCTGGGGACATTGAAGAGCAGGTTGGACAGACACCTGCCAGGGATGGGCTAGATCCGTGGCCACCACAGCGCCCCTCGGGGTGATCGCCACGGCCAGCTGGCCAGGCGGCTGCCCCTCTTCCATGCAGCCCAGCTGGAGCGTGGCGCAGCCTCGGCGGGCTGAACGCCAAGCTGTGCTGGATCGGGGAAGGGCATTAACCTGCTGGCTGGAGGGGAAGAGACGCGCAGTGTCCCCGCTCTTGCCTCCGGCTCTGGGGGGCTGGCACAGGCGGTGCGCTGGGGACAGGGCTATGACTCATAGGACCTGAGAACTGGAGGGGACCTCGAGAGTCATCGACCAGTCCCTGCCCTCACGGCAGGGCCCAGCACCGTGACCCTCCCTGGCAGGGCTCGGTCCAACCTGCTCCGCAATATCCCCAGAGACAGAGACTCCACAGCCCCCAGGCAGCGCAGTCCAGCCTCAGCCTCCCTCGCTGCTTGGCCTGTCCTCAGAGGCCACGGGGAGCGATTTGTCTCCCTCCTCCTTGTGACCTGACCCTCCGTCACGCTGATCCCCACGGGCTGTGTGCGGCCAGAGAGCCCCGCTGCAACCGGCCG